AAAAATTATGAAAGTATTATTATACAAAACAAAACCTGTATCCAACTTAACGACTGCAAAGAAGTTTTTTTTTATGATATCAAAATTGTTCTATGAAGTATAAATTTAAACGTATATAGTACGATAATTTATGACTTCGTTTATCTTTTCTCAGCTAGCAGAGGATATTTAATTTGACGGATTTCAAATTGTGCAAGTTATAGACATTTACTCTCCATGAAGACATGTTCATTGTAAGTTATTCATGCTTATTAGCTAAATGCCATGCGCGTTGGTTTTGGTTTTTGTAACATTCCAGGCAGCCTGAATGTGAGATTATGCTCTTGGCCAATCAAGCGTGACTTTTCAAAACTGAAGCTCCTTGCCGTCGATTTCCCGCGGACACAAAGTCTCATGGTTACACTCAGGCTTAAATATTTTGTGATCTTTGTTCCGAAGTCTCTGACTTTCAGATCTTGTTATCTCTATTGCGGAGACATTGAAAAAAAAAAAACCAAACAATTTTTGTTGTAGTAACAAAATAAAATTGTTAAATAATTGATTTTCCCCATATTTGGTGAATGGTTCCATATTTGATTAGAAGTATTTAACGGTACTTTTAACATCTTATCAATATCACACTGGGGGGGGGGAAATGGGAACCCAGTGTCCCTCTCAAGGACATACAAAGACTGCTGACCCGGGCTGGAGTGAGCGGGTATTGACCCGCTACCCATGGATTATGAATCCAACTCTCTACTAATAGATGTACTAATGGCTTTAGGTAAAGGCATTAATTTGGGTGAGCATCAGATACCTGATAGTTGACTGGTTAACGGTGCATCAACTTATTAAATACTATGTTAATGCCGAGGCAATAATAAAAAAAAAATGTTGTCATACCGCGACAGTCAAACAGTAATAATACACTTGGAATTAATAAATTCATTACCATATATCGATATATATCAATAAAAAAGAAACTCATTAATGTAAATATCATGAACAATAACATCCCGCATAAATATGGATAACTCTTCTCTAAATATCTCATATCTGTATTGAAATTATAACACTGATGTACTTTCAATTTACTTACGAAATTCAGTTCATCATAAAATGGTTTTAGGTCCGGTTGTTGGGAAGCATCAGTCAGGACTGGGAATTTATAGTCCACGCCAAACACATAGAAGCCATGAGAGGCGATTTTTCGAAGAGCTATTTCGTAAAACTCTGCCAATACGACGCCGTCAAACCCTCCGACGAAAAATATAACTGGGAATTCGTTCTTGGGAAGAGGAAAGTATACTGAAAAAGGAAAAAATAAGAAAGAACGCATCTGTATTTCTTTTCTTTCTTTCTTTCTTTCGTTCTCTCTCTCTCTCTCTCTCTCTCCTTTTCACACACACACACACACACACACACACACACACACACACATGTTCGGGCGCTCATGCTCGCGTCAAATGCAGGTAAAATGCACATGCTGAAGTAAATTTATGAAATATGACACAGATCTAGATTCATGAAAAACGAATGATATTTAGTATATTAATAGGAATTAAAGCATCGATATAAAAGAAGCAGAAATGTTTGTTACATACATTCTGTATTCATTAATTTGTTTAAACTTCAGAGCCTGTGTGTCGCATTTGTATTTTCTGGTAAATTAATGGTTATCGAGTTTTAGCAACATAATAATATACAGGCTCTATCTGATTAAAATCAGATTTCCGCCGTTATACATGAAGATCTGACAGCAACCCTTTAGGGGTCATGTTGTGGTAATCTACTTTTTATTACCATAATCTCTAATTTTATCAACCAATCAAATGAAGTCTTAAATCTTCGCGTTTGGACACAGAGCACTGTGGATGAACGACTTGTTTCACGTTCAAAAACGTTTTCAAAGCTGCATTTCCATTGGCTAATTTTAAGGTCACCAGAACATGACCTTTAAGCAGTCGTGGTCAGAGTTTCACGTAGGACAAAGGAGATCTGATTTTAATCATATTGCATATAGGCTAATTCAATGGTTTTCTTTTTTAGTTAAAATGGAGACGAAATGTTGAGGTTTGCAAGAATAACGTCGTATTGCAGAACCCGTAATTAGCCAATTTAAACTGTCTAACCGACAATTACATTTTCTAGTATAGTTAGAATTTTGAAAATTAGACAAATAACCCTGATATGAATCGAAGATGCTATTTAAAGCCATCTCTGAATTAGTCCATTACGAAACTTCTTGCGTGATCCGTGTTTATGATTGATTGAGTGATTGTTGTTGTTGTTGTCGGGTTTAGATAGGTTATACATGACTGTCAGTATTAATGGTGGCAGAAAAACACTGGAAAACCTCGTGAAGAACCATCGACCCACGAGAAACTACTGGCAGACTTTCTCTCGCACCCACGTCAGCCGAGCCTGAGACTCGAACCCACGCAGACAGAGGTGAGCTGGCAGTGATCCGTAACGGCGAGCGCTTTAGACCACTTGGCCACTCGAGGCCCCTTATGATCGATTTAAATAAATATTCCATACATGTTCAAAATATAATTTGTTCAATTCTTTATAGTTTGTGCTTGAATACAACCGATTGTTCAACTTAAGGTGCCTACTTTATTCAGCTGCTTATAATTTTTATCAGTGGTCTGTGTTTGGTTTGGTTTTGCGCTCAATGTCACAGCAACAGAAGTAGGTTATTTAGTGCAAAGGCAATCCGGCATGCTCACCACTGTTTGGCGGAATGATTCACAGCAAAGTCCAAGTAATGATTTCCCAGAAGTAATGGTGCCTTTCAAAGGAGTGGTACTATTTTTCAACCAAAGCGGTGCTCTATATTTTCATATTTTGCGCTATATTAGATTTATAAAGATAAAGGATTTACCAGGTTTTCCTCGCTCGTTATACAGACTATTTAAATTGACCATGTATATCTTAGGTATTGTAAAAAAAAAAAACAACTTTTAATTCCCTTTATTTTGGTGTATTATTGATGGATGTAAATTGGGTTGTAGAGTATACAGTCTGGCCTTAATTTAGATATGCACCTCTAATAAATAATAACTACTAGCTCCGCTGGTCATTTCCACTTCTTGGACTTAAGAGGTAAATTATAACAAAAAACTCCATGTTAACCATTTTTTGTTGCATTTTATATATTTGGTAATTCCTGCATTCCACCTTCAGTGTTCACAAAAGAAAGATTCGTGTAATACCAACGTTTACTGAAATATTCTTATCCCTGTCAACGAAAAAAACTAAATTGTATCTTGCACGTCGAACTGATTTTAGTAAGAAGAGAGTTAACGTACCTTTTGTGTGCAAAGGGCTCTTGTCTTCAGTTTCTGTCAGAGTTAGCTCCCCCACTGGCAGAGGTCCATTCTCGTAGGGATTTCCATTATCCACGAAAATTAGTTCGACAAAAAACAACATAAAAACAAAAAAATGGAGCGAATTAATCTTTTTTTATAAGGACGCATCAAAGCAATAAGTGAACACACACACACACATACATATATACATACATCCAAATATATCTATATTTTTACATTAATTCGGCTCAGAAAATAAAAGGCATAAATTCTGTTGCACTCACATTCACTAATTCCTATGTTTACAAAAGACGGTCATTGCATGTCCTGACTTTAATTCGGGTCACGCTAGTGGGGAACATTAAATTCCGCTTCACGGCTAAGACGTATGTGCCCGTATTTTACAACCCTTGACTTCTTTACATTAAACTATCTAGTAGTGTTAAATTAGATATGGCTTAGCCCCTCAAATCTAACTATTCTAAAATAGTTTACGTGATCAATTAAATATTACAAACTAATATATGGATATACACCCAATACACGTCATACTAGACAGAGAGTTAATTCATAAAACTACGAAACATTACCCTTCATTTATTAGGTCTAATTCTTGAAAAGTCCTAAGCACTCCTATGTGTTAAATATTCAATTACATGCAACCTTGTCAATTCTCCAAATGAATTGATAATTAGAAAATCAAAGAATAAAACATCATGACAAACATTTCACTAAACCCTGAAAAATGAAATCATACATACATATCTCTGAACATCAATACATTTGCAAGTAAATCAACAAATGAAATGGCATATTAAAATCGTGATACTAAGATTGCATACCTTTTGCCGTGTTTTATTCGTTTCCAAGGAACCTCAAATGTAGAGTTTGTCTACTTTCTGAGACAAATCTCACTCCTTATTGCAATCACGAGAGACTTACTTTCACGTTTCCCGGAGTCGATCCCTAATTTCTTTCAAGAAAGATTGAAGACTGAAGAATGTCTCCAACCCCCCCCCCACTTAATTCCTTACAGAGTTACGCCCATAAATCCCTATTAATCAATCATAATCGACTATTTCCTAAATCTTCTCCGTAGAATTTTTGATTGTCAAGACGGCTAATCATGCCGTAATTAACGTTCCATGGAACAATCAATTATCGATAAGCTTCCCCCTTTAACCGGTTGATTTTGGGAAGAGTCTTATGTCTTACCCTTGTACCGTAGCATATGACTCGGTCAAGTTTCGTCGCGTGGAACGAATTTCCTTTGACGTTCAGAGATGAAATGAAAATAATCATATAACTGTCTCTAGCCCTTTATACTTCAATTAAGTTGACTTTGATACAATTCATTTGACCAACGATTCTAAGAGTTTTCAAAATTAGACACACACACACACACACACACGAGGCATGAACTGAACTTTAATTAGAGAGTGTGTGTGTGTGTGTGTGTGTTATTAAGATTTTTTTTTACGAAGCTTTACTAAGCTTTTACAAATTCTCAATCATATCGCTACGATGTTAGCAGTGTGCCAGTTTATAATAATGTCTAGCACTGGGGTATCATACCGCTGATATGTGGCATGATGTCCCACCCACTCACATTATCCTGACACCAGGCGGACCAGTTTTAACACTAACCTCTTAATTCTGAGCGTCTAGCGAATCAGCTGTTAGTACCATTTTTGTAAATTTTTGGCATGACTCGGCCTGGGTTCGAACACGCGACCTCCCGCATCCGAGCCGAACGCTTTTACCACTAGGCCACCAGGGCGGTCTATTAGTGTCCGTTCGATAAGAGTCCGTTCGATATCGGTTCGAAAGATATGTCAAAGTTTGGTGAAGTGGAGTGAATGATAGTGTAGAGACAAACCAAAAGAGAATGTTTGGGAAATATTGGGCCATGTAAAAAAGCTGTCATGAGATGACATCTTATAGAATAGCTAGTATTAAAGGCGGAATATGGAAGAATACTCTGAATTTTTTGGCGGTTAGAGTAAGTAATCCTGATCACAATTTTTTGGCGGTTAGAGTAAGTAATCCTGATTTACTAAACTAAACTAGGAGGCATGTGTTCCCAGAAGGAATTCAAGGTTTTAGGGAAATTCTCCTCGCGAAATTAATCAGTCTACGTTCTGAGGGAAAATTAAATTTTATTCTGACAAAAATTAATAAGCATTCTCTGTCGTTAAATTAATCGTTCCTGGAAGGGGGTCTGGATGGTTTGAGACTCTGGAAGGCATAAACTTATTGTCTCAATTGCATGCAATATGTTCATTGATGTCAGTTTATTATTTGCTAAATTTATTAGTTTTAAATTCATTTATCGATTTTTCTTGAGTTCAGAAATCATTTGTTGCATGCATGTTATCTCGAATGTTATAAGATTCAAGTATTTTAAGAATGGTATCAGATTTAGTGGTTTTATATATAATAAAAATCATGTACTGTGGGAATTTCATGCATTTCATCTGATACCAATTGTGAGAAGCATCTTAAATGATATCTATAGCGTATGCTAAGAATTTGATTTTTCTTTGTCTGGAAATGTATGTCAATGAATCGCTAATATCAAAGTAACGTAGTTAGGACAGGAAGTTAAGTCCATAATTCGTTTATGTAATACAGTTGTAAATATTATTTTCAACAGAGAATTGATGGCGTTATCTTAGTCATAGTCAGTTAGTAATTTACAGCCCACAGCAGGGTGTGATGGTTTATCTAAGAGGTTTAACTATGTCATAGTTCCAGGTAAGAATGCGAGGAGCCGCTGATACGACATTAATTTATAATTGTAGGGTGTGTGCATATCAGCATCAGATTGCAAACTGACCTTAGCTTAGTTATGTTGAATTACGACATGATATCTGACGTAAAAAGAATGGGAATACTGTTTGATCACAGGAGAAGAAACACCTGACACATATTTAAGCTGTGTATTATATTTTTATTGGAGGAAAAATAGCTCCTCACTTGTTCTCCACAGTGAAATGAAGTTCAGTCTAAAGCCAAGACGGTTGATGACCCCAAAAAATATGAGAGAGAGAGAGAGAGAGAGAGAGAGAGAGAGAGAGAGAGAGAGAGAGAGAGAGAGAGAGAGAGAGAGAGAGAGAGAGAGAGAGAGAGAGAGAGAGAGAGAGAGAGAGAGAGAGAGAGAGAGAGAGAGAAGGAAAATAAATACATACCGCCGACTTGTCACCAACAGTGATTTGGAAAAGACCTGAAGCATCTAGATGATGCTGACATGCCAGCAATTTGAGTTCGATCTGTCACCCGATTATATGTTTGTTCCATTGGTTTATAGCCTAGTTGAATTTCGCATAAATTTTGAACTCCATTTCTAAGAGAAAGTGAATTATTTAAATGTCATATTCAATTTCAGTTTATTGATGTAATTGAGTAAATTGTTATATTATACATACATTTGCTCGTGTTCTTCTGTTCTATATCTCTTTTCAGCTTTCTGTTATTCCATCCATTAAATGGGGGCCCCGAATGGCTGAGTGGTCTAAAGCGCTCTTCGTTACAGATCACTGCCATCTCATCTCTGTCTGCGTGGATTTGAGTCTCGTATTCGACCAATGTGGATATGTGAGAAAGTTTCTCGTGTGTCGGTGATTCTTTCTGGGGTTTTCCACCGTTCTTCCTCCACCATTATACTGGCTGCCATTTAAAACCTATCGTGTGCTGAAAAATGGTGTAAAACCCAAGAACAACAACCATCCGTTAATAACTACAACCAAAAACCTAACGGAGTGGGGATATGAAATAACTTTATGGGAAGAAATGAAATTTGCCCTTCTGTATTCACCGAGAAGACAAGATACATCACGAAATCGAGTGAACAATCGAACTTATTTGCCCAGCATGCCTGCATACCTGGCTGATTGCCGGGCTTTTCAAATTCAACATTGGCAACAGATTAGAGTCGCAGTATTTATTGTCCTCTCACTCTCTCTCCTCCTCCTCCTTTCGTGTCATCAATACACAATTTACGTTTGTGATCGAACAATAAGTCCCACGTCACGTCAGATATCTTATTGTAATTCAACAAAAAACTAAGGCTAATATTGGTCATTTCGCAGCCTAACAGTTGATACACAACCCTATTGCCAGAAACTTAATGTCTCTCCCCAACAGCTGGTCTACATTTCTAGATGAATATGGCATAACTATACCTCTTAATAACCATTTGTATGCCCTTGCTGTGGATTATAAATCACTAACTAGTCTAAATGTCGACGGCACGATTTATCGTTTAAAAGAATTCACAACTTAATTATACAAATGAAATAATGGGATTCACGTCTTGTCTTAGCTATCTTATATTGCTAACTATCAATTCATTAACATAACCTTTCCAGACTTTGTAATGTCAATTCCTGGCCGACTTGATTCATATCATTTAAGATAGGTCAATTTACAGAATTCTCTCGAATTCGCATCAAAAGTAATGCATGAAATTCTTATATGATTTTTATTATTACATATAAATGAGCAAATTAGAACATCATCATCAAGAGAATAAATATGACATTCTTTGAGGAAATGGGTCATATAATATTCAAGTTGAATGAATGCGAACAATCAATTCCGAATTCAGGGAAAATTATACAAAATTAATGTATGAATTTAAAACTAATAAATTCAAGCAAATAATTACAAACTCGTATCAATGAACAATTGAATGGGATTAAGACAATGCCTTATGCCTTATGTTTTTTTCAATCCAACCCAATTTCTTTGTTTCTATAAGTTCCGTGTCCCGCAATTTCCAGACAACCGTCACTTTGGACAATTCATAACGAGAAAATACTTATTTCCCAGGAGAAAATTTCTTGCCATCCCTGCAGAAAAATAGACTGACTAAACTTTAGAAGGTAAATACTTAAAACATTTAATTTTGTCTAAGAAACACACGCCTCCTATTTAACTTTGCCAATCAGTATTAAACTTTTCTAACCGTCGAATAGTACCAACGCCTATCCCGGTTTGTGTAACACCTCATATTTCCTCGCTTTCTTAGTAACTATCCCTGGAAAATTAAATTGATGACATTTATTTCCAATGGTACAAATTATCTCAAGATTTTTTCAGCTTTGACATTTTCCCGCTTCCTAACACATATTAACCTTGCCTCAATTACGTCTCTGACATCTATCCCAGTTAAAAATCAATAACGCCCCAATAGGAACATTGAATCATTTGCTGGCTAGAGATTCATTGCGGGCATAGTCCATACGTCAATGTTAATTGTCATGTGCCACGCTGACCGCGACAAGATTCATTTAGTTATGTTTTGCAATCTTACAAAATTCACAGAATGTTTAGCTCCTTCTCCGATTATTGTATGCAGTGATCACAAGCCCATTACTATCTTTAACAGCATCAAAACAAAACAAAATCAGAGATTTCTAAGGTAAAGATTAATGTTGCAGGAATAAAGCATTGACATCAGGCACAACAATGGAAACCACAATCTAATTGCAGATGCACGCTCCCGTTTATAGAAATACTAATATGTAAAATAAAGATTCATTATATAAATCTTTCTTTTTTTGTATGATGTCAGGTGTTATGTGTATCTATATGAGTGTTTAGATTTTATCTGAAATTCTCCTTGTTCTCCTTCACCACCTCGTTATCATCGTCGTCGCTGTCTTTTTGCTTGTCATCACTACCACCACCATCATCACCATTCATATTCATCTTCTTTCCTACACACTGTAGAAAAGGGGATGTAAAATATGTCGAATGTGATCTCCTGCATGTTATAAGAAATGACTAATGGAGGAATCAGTCGTGGTTTTTTCGGTGGTTAGCGTGTCGGACTTGCGGTTGAGCGAAAAGGAATTAGTTTGAATCCTGCCCCTGAATCAGCTTATAACGGCTATTTGCTGTATCCTTGCGGAAAACACTCAGAGCTCTGTTTAATTTGACCCTAAATAATCAACTAATGTTGCTGTATGTAAAACTACAAACCAAAACCAATATGAGTCTGATCATCAGCAGTAATCGTGTCATTTGATTAGATGCAATGTTTTGGTTTTGTGTTTTACGGCACATCAACACATGAATATCAATTAATTCCAATGCAATGAAAATAAAGCTGACCCAGACAGATCCAATGGTTAGACTCGAAACATCATCCGGTCGATCACGAATCTAGCACGCTAAGCACCGCAGCTTCTAGTTGTATTCAAATTGTTTACATGAAAAGCTAAAATTTTGCTTCTATAAATTAAAAAGGTGTTAGTGTTCTAAATTGTTCTTTATGTTTAAGGAACTGAAACTTAAGATCCCAAAATAATTCTTTAGACCATCACAATTTAATCGGTGATGGTTCTTGACGACAACTCTGTATGTGTATCTGCTTGTGCAGAATTTTGCATGTGTGAATATGTGAATACGAGAGAGAGAGAGAGAGAGAGAGAGAGAGAGAGAGAGAGAGAGAGAGAGAGAGAGAGAGAGAGAGAGAGAGAGAGAGAGAGAGAGAGAGAGAGAGAGAGAGAGAGGAGTTAGTTTCCATCAATGTCTGGAAATGTAGAATTTTCAAACAATCATAAGCTTTGCCCGTTTCTGAGTCAGTAAGAAATATATAACGACTTTCAGACTGCGTATCAGAGTGCAGTCCCTAGTTACTTACTGTTTTGCAACAACACAAAGAAAACAATCAATGTATAGAATCTGTAGGCCATATTGCCCGAAGTCCAGTCTTAAATGGGGACAGATGTTTTGCAGTTTTTACCTACAACACAAGTAGCCTTATAGACC